CATCTTCTGAGAAAACATTTTAATCTTTTTTCTCTTCTCCCTCCACAGGTACAAAGTGTGAACAACCTGACAGACCGTGGAACAATGTCCCTCCCTCCTGAGGGGGAAAACATGATTTTGGGCAAATACTTGCACCCTACTTATCTGCTGCTGCTTCTATGGCAAGAACAAACTAAGCCCCTTCTGCCTCTGCTGCTGAACTGATAGGTTTGCTTCTAACCAGCTTCAGCATCCATTGTGCCCACTGCTACAGTTACATTGGGAATTCCCAAGTTCAAGTTCCCAGTTGGCTTGGATTTGTACAGCTACCCCAGCCACGACCTGCTGCTGCAATGAGAAAGCAGGCACGTGTTCAGGATAAGGCTTCAAATCAGCTGTTTCTGCTCTGCAGATAAAGGTGCTCTCATTGCAACCAGGGTTCTGCAGGCAGTGGCGAAGCTCAGTGCTGCACAGCACGGAAATCTGCACATGCACAGAGCAATGGCACCGCCATGGGGGAGGATTAATGAAAAAAAATTGAAAAAAATTCAAACTTCTACATTCTTATCATTGTCAGAACTCTTAGCAACAAAGCTGTGAACACCTATGGAAAATTCCTTCAAAAAGGCCTGGAAATAAAGGGATTTTCTGCAAGAACGTGCAGACAACTGAGCAGTGCATTACAACACAAGTCTTCAGCTTCAGGAAGCGCATGGAAATTTATGGTGGAAGTTCTGAATCAGACATTCCTGAACTTTTCTGACAGGCCGAGATGAGTGAGGTCGCAGGAAAGAATGCAACTGGGTAAGGGCTTGCAGTTCGGGTTACCAGGCACAAGAAGGCCCATGGGCAGAGTTGTTTGTTCAGTAGGATATTCTGTCGCAAAATATTCTGTAGCTCAAGGGTAAGCAGCAAGAGAAAAAGTGCACTTCTACCTCAGAGGGATTCCCTAACTTACTTCCCTACTGAAAACATCACTTGCTCCGTCAGGTAAAGGCCTCGCTTCTTTTCACTTTGTTTTTTACATTCTCCCAGTTACAGGATGAAATGTGACAAGAAAAATAACTACAGCCAAGGCACATCTGTGTCCTAACTTCTTCCCGCTATCTGCATCCATCTTCCTAGTTATGGCAGAATCACAGAACATCCTGAGTTGAAAGGGATCCCCAAGGGTCATCAAGTCCAACCCCGGCTTCACACAGACCACCCAAAACCCAAACCTTACGCCCAACAATGGTATCAAGAGCAGTATCCAAATAGCCATTGAACTCCAGCAGCTCGGGGCCATGCCTGCTGCCCTGGGCAGCCCGTTCCATGCCCACCACCTTCAGCTGAAGAACCTATTCCTAACCCCTAGCTGCCCCTGCCCTGACAAGGCTCCACGCCATTCCCTTGGGCCCTGCTGCTGTCACAGACTGCTGCCCTCAGTGCTGCACCCGCCATCAGCTCTCCCCTCAGCTCCTCTGCCCTAGGCTGAACACACCAAAGTGATTTAGGTTCAGACCCAGACAGTGCCACTTCAGACACCATTCTGAGGATGCTAACAAATATCCCCTCTTGCATTTGGCACATTCACACACATGAATCTATCCCCTTGCATCGGACTTGCACATGGAGCACTTATCTGCTGTGACCCCATTGTTCATTTGCTAAGAGACCATTACAGTATGAAGGAAATGTCCATTTCTGGCTTATCTTCATATTGCACACAAACACACTGTCAGAGGATACAAGTTAAAAATAACGCCACTGAAGAACAAGTTGAAAGATTATCTGGAAAAAGCCAAGGTACATCCTATAATTAAACCATTGTTCCCCCCAGGCACTGGAAGTGGGAACATCTGCCCAGCAGTGGCATCCTGCTCTGGTGCCTTCTGACACATGACAACATGCCAGCACTGAGCCCAGGGCACCAGCAGAGCTTCCCTCGCCTGCTGGTGCCATCATCCCCCTGTGGCTTCTTACTGCCGGACCAAAGCACATCAACTGCTTCCAGAAGGAAACTTGAAGCACCAAAAGTATATCTAAAGCCTACATACACTGAAACAGCCCTTCCTGCAGACGTCAATGTGCAGCATGCCAACAGTGAGCCAGTATGTGGAGCTTCTGAAGTAGGGAGCTCCTCGCGTACCACGCCATGCAACTGAGCTGCTAGGGCAGAGTGGGATTAGTGCTGGTTCTCCTATTGCAAAGCAAAAGGAGCCCTGTTTTGGGTTTGCGGGTTTTTTTTAGGTTAAACTCCTCCAGAACAGAACTGCATGCTCTCTGAGGTGGTCTATGAAGCTAATAGGAAATGGTTTTGATAGGACTGAAATTTTATAGCTTTAATATAAGATGACATTTGGAGGGAAAAAAAACTAGACTGTTATTAGTCACAGCTCAAGGGCATAAAACCATTTGTAATTTATGAACATTTAGAATTTAGATTCCCCCAAGTAGTTAAATTAACTTTGCAGTTCAAGTCTTCAAAGAGAAAATGAATAGTTTAATAAAGCAGTTAAAGAGGAGAGCTCTGTTACACAACAGACATGCTGAAGTGCAGGCTATGTACGTTTCCATTTTGTCTTCATTTAGGGTTCTAGTCAATGGAGTGTTGAGCTGTAATACGTAGAACACAAACAAACTTTTAAACATGGACACACAGAAGACGTGTGGTGCTAAGAACTTCCCAAAGCAGGTGCAGAATTGTTTGCTTTCCAAAAACAAAATAAAAAAAAGCCCTCTCCAATCATCACCAATGAGGTTTTTGCACTACATGTGCTCATGCAGTTTAGTTTGCTTTCTCCAACGGATTACACCAGCTCCAATAGTCACTGAAGCCGTACCTACACCTGAGTGCTCACTGTGCTGCTGTCACTCCGCTCTTTGCCATGAGCCTGCGGTGAAGACGCTTCACTAAATTGGTGCAGGGCAGAGTAGTAATGTCAGATGCAAATTCACATCTCCCTAATTTGGGAGAAGCTGAGCCCAATGAGTTGGTTAACACGAGCACGCAGCGAACACGATACTAACACTGCTGTCATGTTATTTCCTGTACTGACATGAAGACGATAAATATATTTTCTCTTCCCAACACTCTGTCAGCTCCCAATGACTTGGCCTAATGAGTTCCCAAAAGCTAAAAATAAGCATCTCCAGTAGACAGCCAGAGAAACAAAAACACAGGCAGAGGAAAACAGGGACAGAAAAGTCACTTTCAGGGAACAAGAAAAAACAAAGTCCTTGTGTCTTCATACAGAAACAACTTCTGTTTGTTTGCTTTTCATTTCACTTGATAATTGCATTACAGAGATATGTGCATTACAGAGATATCGCTCATAGCTACATTTCTTTCAGATTCCAATAGCACTGTAAGATAAAACTGAGACTACTTCCAGAGTGGAAAACAAACACTACAGACTGGTCAACAGCACGACTGTGGACAGCGGGTCTGATGGAGCAGAGGGCCCTCTCCCCACCATATCACTCCCACCGGCAGCACTGGAAAAGCATGCCTGAGCCCCAGCTCCCAGCACCCCCAGTGCTCAAACAGGCTGCCCAAAGCAGTTACAGATGCCCCATCCCCTCTGGGCAGCCTGATCTGGTGGGTGGCAGCCCTACTCACAGCAGGAGGTTGGAGTTCCATATCTTTAAGGTTTCTCCCAACCTAAGCCATACTGTGATTCTGATGACACACTCTATTTCCCACCAGCCTGGTCTATTTGTGGCTTATTTTGGCCAGTCAGCTCTGTGGATTTCAGGGTGGGTTTCTTTTCCTGTGGCAACTGCCACAGCACGCTTTCAGTCTGCTGATTCTTGAAGTTTTAGCACATTAATGCAGCCCTGGTGTTCCCAATTTAGCTCTGTGCCCTTCACATTGGCTTTATCCCCGCTTTCCAGCTGATTTCCTCACTGCACCAGTTCCTACTTGTTCACTGCTCTTTTCAGCCACCCCTTGCAGAGAGCACTGCCTGGCAGGGCCAAGGCTCCAGCCTCACCTGGCACAGGCTCACAGCTGTCACGGGGAAGGGCTGGCTCCCCGTGCTCAGCCTGGTGGCCCCACGACCTGACTGACTGGTTCCTGAGCAACTGGTGGTGTCACTCCCCACCGGCAGCCGGCCACCACTCCACAACCACCTCTGGGGCGAGCACCAAACCAAGGCTCCCACCCTGGAACTGTCCCAGTGCAGGGGCCTGGCTGCCAGAGCACCACACTTCCAGCGGGTGCCATGGGATCCCTCCTGCATTGAGCTAAGGGACATTTGGAAAGGTCAATCAAGGACAAAGGAACCACTTGAGCTCCAAAAAAAAAAAAAAAAAACCACATTCCAGAAGTAGGCTACAAAAAATAAGGGGGAGACTAGAAGATGCGTAAAGAAGACAGGTTAACGTAATGTCCATACGGCTGGCGTGTTTTTCCATGGGAGCTTTTGTTTTCTCACACATATTCCACCAGCACAGGGATAAAAATAACACGACCACAATGACGTCTCTCTAGCAAGAGGAATGACTTATGGATGCAGGCCGAAAGTTAAGGTTTCCTCTTTGCCCCCAATTTGAAACCGTTGCCAGCCAATCAGAGACTCGCCAAAATGATCAGTAAAAACATCCCTTCCTAAAAACCGGAGTGCAACGGGCTCCCAGGGCGCGGGGAAAATAGGGCAGATGGCACCGCAACTCGCAGCAAAGTAACTCCGCTAGCCTCGTTGCACGGCGATGGGGGGATCGGCGCAAAGCTCATTAGCCCGCAGACAGCTGGCAACGGCACCCGTCCGGGAGCAGCGGGAGCTCACGGCGGGGTGCTGGCTTCCCGGCTCGCCCCGGCAGCGCCCGTCTCCCGCTATGGGGCTCAGCATCGGCTCCCGCCCCGCCGGAAACCCCCCCTGGTGCCCCAAACCGGGCAGCGGGAAGAAACTTGCACGCCTTCTCCTCTCCCCTCCGCTCCGTTCCGCTCCCCAGCTACAGACCCGCGCCCCAACACCCTCGTCCGCCAGCGGGCCCCCCGCCCGCCTCCACGCCCGCCCGGGGAAGGGGCCGCCTACCTGGGGGCTCCGCTCCGCCGGGTTCTTCATCACTGCCTGGCGGAAGCTATTATCCACGTAGGACGCCATCGCGCCTAGCTCCGCCGGCGCGGCGGCCGCTCCCGCCTGGCTCGGAAGGGCGGGACGGCAGAGGAGAGGAGGGCCGGCAGCGGCCTGGAGCGGCGGTCCGGGGCGAGCGGAGGGAGGCGGCGCGGGGACTCCGGCGGCGCTTCGGCTCAGCAGCGCCGCCGCCCGGATTTAGGCCGCGGCCGAGCCCCGGAGGCGCGGGGGCTCCCGGCGGGCCGGAGGCGCCCGGCGGAGGCGGCTGCGCGCTCCCGCTCTACCCGGCGCTGCGCCTCCCGCCGGCTCGCTCCGCCGCATCCCCACGGGCACCTCCGCCGCCTCCCATCCAAGCTACTAGGGGCTCCGCGCCCGTCTCGGCGACGGGGAAGTTGCTGGCTCGGGGAGGCGGGGCCGAGGCGGGGCGGAGCGGGGCGGGGCGGAGCGGGGCGGGGCGGAGCGGGGCGGGGCGGA